TCCCCCCACTGGCCCCTGCCACCCCCCCTCTCCCAATCTCCCCCCGCCCCCATACTGGGAAGGGGACACGAAGCTCTGCCCAAGGTCACCGGTGGGCTGGGAGCCAGCCCAGCAGGGACAGGGGACTGGACTAACCCGCCAGAGCCACCACCTCCAGGCCTGCCCTGAAGCAGGGGTGTGGGGGGGTGAGGGGTGGGAGGGGGGTGGGGGAGGGGATAGCCAACAGCAGCAGCCCCCACCCATGACCAGAACTCCAGGTCTTTTCTAGATACCCACCATTCCGCTCCAGAGTGAACAGCTAGCTCCTTAAGGCTGGTTTCCTGCCGGTTCATCCGCACAGAACACGGGCTGCCGTAGGGCACCCAGCCCCGGCAAGATTTTGGGGAAGATTTTGAATTAATAATGATTTTTTAAAAATTAATTAAAGGAAGAGAAAGAAAGAATAGAAAAGGCTTTGATCATCAGACCCCCAGAGCTCCCGGGGGCCTCTGCTCCAGCCCCACCAGCCAGCACCCCTGGGATTTCCCCATTTCTCCCCTTTTTTTCCCTTAAATAACCCCGCTCAGCTCATCACAGGGGCACCGAGGGCTTCACCCACCGCATTCACCCTGCGCCCCCCCCCCCACCCCCACTGCCCCCCCCCGGCGGTAGAGAGCCTTGGAGGAGCCCCGGAAGGTTTTTAGGGGTGGTTCAGTATCATTAACCCCATTCTGCAGGTGGGGAAACTGAGGCAGGATAGGGAAACCCAGCTGTAGGTAGGGACTGAGGGGACCTTGGGCCCCAACACCGGGGGGGGGGGATGCAGGGGTCTGGGGTGGGGGGCCCCCCAGGCTGCACCCCAGGACCAGGCCCTGCCACGCGCTGGCGGCCACACGTTCCCCGGCTGCTTTCGCTTTCCCCCGCCGCAGCCGGGGGCACGCCCAGAGCCCCCCCCGCCCAAAGATAAAGCTGCAGTACAGCCCCGTGACCCCCCCACGCGAGGGCCACCCCAAAACTGCCTGCAACACAGATATAGAGAGCACCCACATATGTCTGGGGCGGGGGGCAGGACCCCAAACACCCCCATCCTGTCCCACAGAAGCAGCGAGGTTGGGGGTGCCCCTTCTTCCAGCCCTGGCCAGACCCCCCCCCCATTCCTCCCTGCACCCCCAAAACCCCACCATGCTGCAAGGGACCATGCTCACGCCCAGCCCGGGGACCCCACGGGACCCCCACCAAGATTTCCAGTCAACATCACTGAAACCTGCTGCAGCTCTCATGGGTGGAGTGATTTTATCCCGGTCTCTGCAGGACAGCCCAGACTCCCGGGGGACCTCAAAGTACCAGGAGAAGCAAAACCAGGATCCCCCCCCAAAATGCCACCACAGGAGCTTCACATCAGGGACCCCCCCATGTGGGGACAGCACCAACACTGGTGCTCAGCACCACCTCCCCAGCATCCCTGGCATCGCTAATGGCACAAGAACTCTGCAAAATAAAGTTATTTTTCAATTCTGGGCCCAATTTCGATTTCGCCAAGTCTGCCCTGGGCTGGCAGAGCCCACCTTCACCTCTCCCTGCTTCTTTTCACCCCAAATATTTCAGAGCTGATCCCGACTCCCCTGGGGCAGGATTTAGGGCATCGCACCGTCCTCAGACCTTGCACCTGTTCTGGCCAGGGCTGCCTCCTGCCAAGATAATTCCGTTATCGCCTTCTTCCGCCGGAGGCGGCTGATGGGCAGCGCAGCGAGAGCCACCGGCGCATCCCGGCGTGGCCGTGTCCCCAGGCACGGTCAGCAACATGGCTCCCGTCCAGGGAAGGCCCGCTGGGGTTCCGGCTCTGCAGGGGTTAAAGCCACTTGGGGCACAACCAAGAAGAGAAAAGGCCTGTAAATGTAAAGTGCCATTTATTTTTTTTTTTTTTTTGTCTCATGATGAAAATACCAAGTTTAAAAAAAATAAATTGCACCAACAAAACGCTCGATACGCTTTCTCCTCCTCCTCCTCCAAAGCCCAGCATCAAACCCAACTGAAAATATCCTAAAGCTTTATGAACTGTCCCCTTCTCCACCTCCCACTTAAATTAAGAGGCAAAAAACATAACGATGAGCATCCCCGCAGCTCTGGGGCGACTTGCTTGGGCACAAGCTGAGCCAGCAAGCACAGACGTACTCGGCCCCCCAAAATCTGGGGTCTCCCCCCCGGGTTTGCCTTGGGGGGAACGCAGCTGCCCCCAGCACTCACCCCAAGCAAGGCAACGCCATCATCCTTTGCTAGGGATGGGGAAAGAAAAGGGTACGAGGGGGTTGGGGTTACCGTGTCACGGCACTTGTTTTTGGGGGGCTGTTGTGGTGGGACCCGAGCACAGGCAGAGGAGATGTCAGCTGCCAGCCCAAGGGGGATAAAAAAAAGCAGCCCAAAGAGAAGGAAAACATGCCAAAAAAAAAAAAATCCCACCAAGCTTCCAAAAACCATCTCCTCACAGGGGGCTTGGGGATCGCAGAGGTCCCACGCAGTGGGGGAACAGGGGAGCAAGTCACCCAAAAACACATACACATGGTGAAAAATGAGGCGACAGCGGGGAGCTGCGGTGCTGGCAGGGATGGATCCGGCTGCTTTGCCGGGGCTCAGCCTTCACAGCCACGGTGGGACCCGGGGGGGGTTTACCAGGTCCTTCCCAGGCAGGGGGGGGATGCGACAGGGAGAGACCATCAGCCATGGTCAGGCAGAGGTGGCCTTCGGAAAACCCCGTGGCCTCAGGACAATGTGGATCTCACTGGGTGGGTTTATCCCCTCCCTGCAAGGCCCAGCCTAGGCACCCCACATCTCCCGGATGAACGGAGTAGGGGGCTCACGGGGGCTCCGATGGGGAGCCCTGGGGCTCTGCTACAGCCACGATGGCCAAAGCCTCTCGTGGGGTGGGCGAGAGGCAGCTGGAAGGGGAAAACCTGCAGCCTGGAGGGGCTTCACCCTTCCCCGTCCCCAGGAGATGGCGGGGTCAGGAGAGGGACCCAACTCTCGGGGCTAGCCTGGCTCTGTCCTGGCCACAGTGGACAACCGGGCTCTGCCTCCCACCTCTCTGCGCTGGCAGAAAAGCCCGTGCTCTCCCCTCGCCTCGGCACCTAAAGGCGAGAGCCATGGTCCTGGGGGGACCTGCTCACGCACCCACTCCGCAGCTCCCACCCGATTCCCTCCTGCTGCGAGCCGAGAGCTCAGCCTGCGCTCAACAGATCAAGACCCTTCACTAAATATCCAGTGTGCAACAAGAACAGGCTTTAAAACAACTGTTTAGAAAGAAAACAAAAGAAAATACAAATCTCTCCTCCACCTGCAGATGGGCCAGGAGGGAGCTCACCACTACGCTCTTCTCCAGCTCAGCCATAAATCATCCCGTACACCTCCTGCCCGCATCAGCAAGGTGCCCACCTCGTCTCCAGCCACCCCGGGCAGGATGGTGACACTGTTTCTGGCCACCCTAGACAGGGTTTCTCCAATTCCTGGCCCCACCGATATCTCTGCCCCTGAGCCCACATAAAAACCAGGGAGGAGGTGAAACATCTGCTGTGCAGGCCCTTGTCCCCGTCCCCTGCCACCGTCTCATATACATGCAAGCGTGCACACATACGATTCTTTTCTTTTTTTTTTTTAACCCAAGTGAACATGTTTCCAAAAAAAAAAAAAGAGAGAAAAATTAACATAAGCAGCACCACATTTCCCAAGTGTCAGGAGCTCCAGAGCTGGAGCAGAGGCCTGGAACACCCCCACATCAAAAGAAACCAACCCCGCTTTGGCTGGGGGACGGCCGATAAAGACGCTTCCGAGGGGATGGTGCTTTGCCGCTGGGACGCGAGGCGAGCGGGGGCCGGGGAGAAGGAAGGAGGGCAGTTCTGTCATTTACTGAAGGAGAGGAAATGGTGACAGAGGCAGATGTACTGACACCAGGCGGTCGGCTCGGCCTTCACACGGCAGCACGGGTGGGTGTGCTGGGCTGGTTCAACCGTAGCGTTTTGCACAGCCAGCCGGCGAAATCCACCTCCTCCACTTCGGAGCGTTTGATGAAGGTGTGACTCTGAAAGCGAAGGGAAAGAGGGTTAGGAGCATCGCCGGCTGCTCCCCGGCTCCCAAAACCCAGCCGTGCCATGGGCTAGACCCCAGAGAGGTGAAAAGATCCTGGTGCCACAGCTCAGGCTGCTCTCAGTTAGCAAAAGCAGATTTTGGAACAGTATTTGTTCCTTGCAGCCCCGTGGCTGGGATTTTAATCCCGTGCTGGCCACGTAGTCAACACACAGGCATGGGAGCAATGAAGATTTAGAGGAGAGCAGAGCCTGCATGGCCCCTGCCTGCGAGCAGACGAAAACCCTGCTCCCCTGGGGCAGAAGGTGACGGAGAAGCACAGGCAGGACAAGACAACCTTCGCACAAGGGCATGGGGCCACAAGGACACAGGCCACCTCCTTTGCAAGGGCAATGTGGGAGCACCCAGATGTAGCTCAGGGGCTCAGCATGCCGCTGAGGAGGAAAGCTGAGGTCAATGTGGTTAAACTGGGCTTGTAGAATGGTTTGGGTTGGAAGGGACCTTAAAGATCATCTAGTCCCACCCCCCCCCGCCACGAGCAGGGACACCTTCCACTAGAGCAGGTTGCTCAAAGCACTGTCCAGCCTGGCCTTGAACACTTCCAGGCATGGGGCATCCACAACCTCTGTTCCAGTGCCTCACCACCCTCAAAGTCAAGAACGTCTTCCTAATATCTAATCTAAATCTACCCTCTTTCAGTTTAAAACCGTTACCCCTCATCCTATCGCTACACTCCCTGATAGAGTCCCTCCCCATCTTTCCTGTAGGGCCCATTAGGTACTGGAAGGCTGCTGTAAGGTCTCCCCGGAGCTTTCTCTTCTCCAGGCTAAACAACGCCAACTCTCTCACCCTGCCCTCATAGGGGAGGTGCACCAGCCCCCCAATCATCTTCACAGCTCGAGCAGGTCCATGTCTTTTATGCTGGGGACCCCAGAGCTGGCCGCAGTACTGCAGGTGGGTTCTCACCAGAGCAGAGTAGAGGAGAAGAATCCTCTCCCTCGACCTGCTGGCTACGCTGCTTTTGAGGCAGCCCAGGATACGGTTGGCTTTCTGGGCTGCGAGTGCACATTGCCAGCTCCATATATTCACATTCATCTGCCCAGATGAATTGGGAAGCAAAGGTTTGTCCCAGGCACCTCCGCAGACATGGGACAGCTGGGTGGTTCCCATCCTGGACTCTGCATGGGCTAGATACCATCACTGCCTTTGAATCACAGGTGAGTCATTCCCTCTCCCAGGCTCTATTTGGCTCATCTTAAGCTCAGCCTGGGAGTTTCCAGCCTTTTGAGCAAGAGGCACAGAGGGACAAGGCAACAGTTTACAGATCTGGTGCCACCCCACTGTAGAAAGAAAATTGCTCTCCCCACTTACCATCAGCATCTTCAGATCTGCCCGTTCTGCTGGATTTTTAATTAAGCTGAAATGAGAAGAACAAGAGACCAAAACCAATGCTGAGACGTTTCTTGTGGGAAACCAGCTATCTGGCTGGAGAGTTCTCCAGCTTCACCAAAAGCCACTTGGCCTCCTGGCTGCTTTCCCCAGGAGCCTGGCAGCATGGAAACAGCTCACAAAGCTTTATCTCCAACAGCCCAGCTCCAAGGGAAAGCTGCAGGATCTGTCTCTTCTAGATTGTGTGGATGAACTGCACCCTCCAAATGGAGACAAGGACCTAACGCTTGGCGGGGGATGAGTGATTTTTATAATGTCCAGTCTCTGCGATTCAATAGGAGCTGCAACAGCATCTTCAGGTGTCCCCCCACCACTTCAGAAGGTCTGGAAGTTGATGGTGTATGCCTGGTGCCTGCAAGGCTGTGGGGTGACTCACAGCCCCAGCAATCTGCTCCACCATCCCCCTGCCAGGTTCATATTTAGAAGGTGCTGGGATACTGCTAAGCATCACCACAAATAAACTGCTTTTATTCCAACCCTTCCCAAGGCAGGAGTTCCCAGCACAATGCAGGATCATACTGCGGCCAGGGAGAGATCACCTACAGAGCATGGAGAACATTGCGTTACACTGAACATTTTGGGTGGAGCGGCAGCCTGCAGAGCTGTCAGGGAGTATATACAGGCCTCCACCTTCAGCTGTAAGATGAAATCCTTACCATTTATTTACAAACTCCTGGAAATCTTGCGTGAAAACTCCATTCGGCAGCTTGGGAGGTGGCTGCAGAGAAAAGAAGGGTTTTCTGCATCACTGTGTGTTAATGGGTCAAAACACAGAGTGTCACCTACAGTCTTTAATGAGCTGCAGAAAAGCTGTGCTCTACAGCTACCCTCCTCCTCCAAGCTGCCCTTTACAACTAGGGAACTGCTCTCTGCCATTTCTTACCCTGGCAGAACATGGCTGGGCTGGCAGCAAACTGCTGCCCCAGCATGACACGCATGCAGCTGGGGGGGACCCCACGCTGAATCACTGCCAAAGCTGGGAAACCGAAATTGCAGCATCGCAATTCTGGATCTAAGCTCGCAAATCCCAGCTCTGGCAACGCCTACAGCGGACGAAGCCGATCCAGAAATGACAACTGGGGGTCAATTCCTACCACCCTGAAAGGAGAAGCTGCTCTTTCCACTTGCTGGTGGGATGGACCCTACCTTCCAAGTCTGGCAGGACATTTCAGCCTGGGATTTTAGCACTGGTCACCCTCATTCAAAGAGCTTCATCTGAGAAAACATGCACAACCTCAGCATCTGCACAGAGGGAGCGTTCATCCTTTGCTGATCTAAGGAGAAGCATGTTTGAAACGGCCAGTTGCAGAAGGAGCAGGTCATTACAGCCAAGAGCTCCCCTCGCTGCTCTCCTCTTTCAAGGGTATTACAAACTTCCCCCTGCAGAACCTTATTCCAAAACCAGAGATTCTTTTGCAATACAAATAGGTAACGGGGAGAAGGAAAGGACATCAGTGCAGCTCAGAGGGGCTCTCTATCAAAAAGCCCCTGTTCAAGCAAAGGATTCAGAGCCCAACCTGACAGTGGACATGACACTGTGGTACCTCAGGGAAGCCCAGCAGAGCCGACAGTAAAGAAATACCCACCTCATTAACTATATAATCCAGCAGTTCAAAGATGGCCATCGCAGGCCGGCTGTCCATCCCATGGCCTGCATGGTTAAGATGACAAAAACAGTGGTGAGAGGCTGTTCAGGGACAGCAAGGGGCCTCATTTTGTGTGAAAAGCATGTGTGCTGTGGGACTTTAGCTGGGAGCGGCAGAGGCAACCCACTTGGGAATTGACTCGTGGTTAAAAAAAATAACGGAGCGAAAACGAAAACACATTCCAAAATCTTGGATTTCTTTCTCTGTGCCTATAGTCCAGATTTATTTCCTAGCTTGGAGCATTTGGAGAGTACCAGACCATCTGCTGTGGCAGGCTGGCAGCGCTTCTAGAGCCTTCTGCTTCCAAGCAAATGGCTTGAGCAGAGCCTCCTTCAAACACCTGTGCCAGTGTGGTACTTCTACGAGAGCTCCCAGCAAAGCTGTTCCCAAAAAGCTGCCCCAAGCTTGAAAGGAACCTGCTGGCAGCACGGGTAGAGCCTGAGGAGCAACATGGGCTGTGACAGTGTCCCTCAAAGCATCTCCTCCAAGGGATCCACATCCCAACAGCCTGCACCATCCCCAGCACAGGGTGATTTGCTGCATGGCTTGAGCCTTCTCATGGGTCGCAGCAGGGTCTAAAGGCAGATTAACTGAGCTCTTCAAAAATCTTAATAGACCCTGGCTGACATCCTGAGAGCAATCTCCTCACCTCCCCATGCAAGACCAGACTCCTGCCTGTGCTCATGAGGAATTACAAACCTCCGTGGTAGAGTGGATACTGCTGGAGCATTGACATGGCTCCATCTGCTCTGCAGAGAGGGGCCTCTCTAGAAACACTCACCTCCCCACCACAACCTCATCCAAAATGGCCTTTGGCTAACCCAGCCACACCGAACACAACCCGACCCCTTCGCCCCCACGTCTGCATGTTGTTTCCAATGCATACGACAGCCCCTACCACTGACGGGGCGTCCTGGGGGCCTGGCCCGCGGCGAGATGCTGTGAGACTCTCCCTCTGCCCCGTCCACCACAGGACGGCCAAATATTGCTTCCAGTTCCTTGGAGTCTGGCGGGGGGATTGGGTACCTTCCGATAGACAGCTCCACTAACGACAGACCCATGCTCCAGATGTCAGACTGGACCGAGTAGTGGGTGCCCTGCAACCGCTCAGGCTGGAAGGAAAGACCACAGAAACACACACTGACACAGAATATCAATACGCAAAGTCATAAACATCATGCACTGAAATTAAATAGATGAGACTCGATATCCTGACAGCCTCTCCAGCTCAGCTCTCCACCCCTTCAGGGAAAGGACTGTCCCAAAGGGGTCATGTGCAAAGGGGATGCAAATGAAAGATCATGTGCAAACATAAAGCACTTGTATGCAGCTAATCAACAGCTAGAGTTGAGCAGCATTTACAGCTGCTTATACTTAGGAGTCCAGAGTACACAGTAGGAATCTATTTCTCTGTATGCTGAGATCTAATGAACTCAATTTATTAACAAAATTTTTTGTTTTCTTGCTCATTCCTGTTAATACCCAAGAGGAATTTGAGGAGCAGAAAATCCACTCTAGGCTCTTACCATTGAAAGAGAAATAAAAATTAAAAATAAATCAATCAATGCAAGTCATCCATACTGGCAGCTTTGAGTCAGCTGTGCAGACCCAGTGGCTGAGTGCAAAGGAGATATTATTTTTAAATAGCCACTGTCTAACTATAACTGTACTTGAATAACCATTCCCAAAATACGAGAGCAGCTCAGACCTAAGCACTGAAGTGTAGTCTGATGGCTTTCCAAATAACCCACCGCTCGTTCCCAGCCACAACTACACATGGTGAGGTGAGAAGACCCACACCTACCCTCTGCCTTTCAGCCAGCAGAACCTGGGGAATCAGAGCCAGCCAGGAGGTGATTTTATTGTCATGGACACCATATTATCTGCAGTTGAGCTAACACTGATGATTATTCTCATTTAAAGGAGGAGAGGCACAATCAGCTCTTCCTGCAGTTCACTCTCACTGGCTGACTCCAATTTGGCTTTAATTTCCCATTAGCCTGTACAAAAACCCAGCTGTACTAAACTGGTTTTACCCCAATTTTGCCAGCAAGTGCACATGGTCAAAGCAGCAGAGGAGGTGCATGTATCAGCATCTGCATCCCCTCCACAATCGTTTTTCTGCACAGAGCTTTGCATACAGAAAAGAGAACGATGTTTCTGAACCCACAAACACTCGCCAAAATAAAACATGGAAGCATTTGTAGGATCTGAAACATCTTTCCCTGCAAGTCTCTGCACTTCCACATGCCACCACCAATAGCCAGGCACAGGCTGGAGTTGACAGGACACCGACTCCTCAGGAGGATGAGGCGGCATCTGCTTCTCCAGCACAGGACAGTGCCTCGAAGCACTGGGCTTGCCCCCGATGTGAACCAGGAACGGGGCAGTCCAGATAAGGAGGGAAACACAGAGCAAAACTGTAAGTGAATCAGACACTACATTCTGATTCTGTAAGAGCTGAGTTGAACCCAAATTGTAAAAAAAAAAAAAAAACAAACAAAAAAAACACCAAAAAAAACAAAACCAAAAAACACCCACCAAAACCAACCCCCCCCCCCCCAAAAACCCAAACCAGCCAACAGTTGAAAGGAACTTACAGACATGTAGGACCGAGTTCCCACAAAAGAGTTTGCCATGGAGTCAATGAGTTGACCGCTGACCCCAAAATCACACAGCTTAATCTCTCCTCGAGAATTAACCAGGATGTTAGAAGGCTTCACATCTGACAACAACAAGAGACAAGAGCGTAAACACAACTCTAGGTAAAATACAGGGCTCTTGTACTGCAGGCAGTTATTTTTAGGTTCCTCCTCTCACCTCTGTGCATGATTTGGTGCTTCTCTCTCAGATACGCCAAGCCTCTCAGAACCTAGAAGGAAACCAAAGACAGGATGAGGTCAGAGCTGGGAAGGGAAGTGCTTTCCCTTCAGCAGGACACGTTGCATCAACTCTGGGTGCTGCCACACTGCAGCTTGGCGAGGAAAGCCATCCCATAGTGTCCACGTGTCTCAGGGTTTGCAATTTGTCATCAAGTCAATCACAGATCTTGGGTTTACCACCTGAGAAACCTTCTCCCAAATCTCCAGGAGAGGCCAACACCAGCTGGTGCAATGCAAGGGGTTGGAGCTATGGAGAGTGGTTACGAATATGCTTTCCCCCCTCCCCTCTGGCACACACCACTGCCTCTTGCCCTAGGTCAGGATAGGAAAGTGCGTATGGGGAAACGAAGAAAGCTTCCTAAGGTAATACAAGCATTATTCCCAAACCGTGCCCAGCAAATGCTTTCTGGAAGCCTGAAGAGCCACCGTAACTCACCGCTATACTGACTTTCCCCAAGATCTCCTCGGGAATTCTTTTGGCTTCTTTCAACACTTGATCCAAAGACCCACCATCCTAAAACAAAGAACACTGAAATGACCAACACGCTAATCGCCGGCAGGAAAACAGAGCAGCTGGCTGTACAGGCAAGCATGCCCAGGGAGGGCAAGTGGTATATGAGCAGTACGTAGCATCCCAGCTCAGCTGTCTGCAACGACTCGGCATCAAGCACACTCTGTTTACAGCAGAAAAAAAGATAGCTGGTAATCAGAGCTCAAGCATCTCGCTGAAAACTATTTTAATGCTATCTTCTATCAGCTCTACTTCTTGCTATTAGTTCTTAGCTTCCTTTCTCTCAGTGGTAAATGTGAAGATGATGCTGTCAGCACTGATCCAGAGGAGCGACAACACTATTCACCGCCAGAGACAACAGAAACTGCACACTGTGCTTCACTGCAAGCTCTGTAGAGTGGCAGGTTTACAACATTTCCTTTTGGCCAACCCCCCAAACCTCTGCTTCCGCTTTCCAAAAAGTCAATCTCTCTGTCATATCAATGCCTAAGCAGGAGAGTGCAGCTCCTACCAGGCACACAGTGGCCTTGCTGCAGCCAGAGCAAGGAGCCATTGCAGCTGCCAGCACCCTAACCCATTTCGCTTGCAATTTCAAGTCTTGGGGAGATGCAATTCGGAACACTCCAGGGAACGGCAGTTTGCAGAGGAGGAATGGGGACTCACCATGTGCTCCATGCAGATGGAGATCTCTCCGTCACTGTAGAAGGCTCCATAGAAACCCACGATATATGGGGAATTACACTCGTGCAGCACCTGCAGCTCTCGGATAATCCGATTCCTGATGGCTGGTTTGATTTCTAAATGAATCAGCTGCCAAGAAAGAAAAAAAATATTCAAGGTGTAATGCCTGGAAAAACTTACAGGAACCACATGAGTAAGTCCTGAGTGTTGGAAAGAATAAAAAAAAAAAAACATCTTCAAGGGAAGCTCTGCTTTGGCATAGACTTTTTACCATTTGCAGGCTAACATTAAGGATAGGTAGAGCCCTGTGCAGCCTGTTAGCGACTGAAGCAACTGCCAGCCATGTAACACCCAGAGATCACACAAGATACAGAGCGGAAAGACAAGTCAGAAGTTTGATGCAGATCTGACTCAGCAGACAGGAACATTTTCACAAGTTCTGTAGGTGTTGTAAGAATAGGTGCTCTGATATCAAGGAAACCACAGAAAGTAAAAAAAATCCCATGAAGATTATGCACGTGAAAGAGCAGTTGCTTTATTCCTTGGGCTCCACATAGAGTCAGTTAACACAGCTGTGGGTAGAGGCTAGAAAATACGATGGCAGGTCAGATAAAAGAGCCACTGTTACTGTAAGCTCTAGGACACCCTACCCCAGGGACGTCTGTCCTTCCCACAGACCTACAAAGGCCAGCATCTACAGGCAGGACAGCAGCTTGCCTTCGCTTCAGTTTCTGAACATGGAGCTCCCAACAGTCTTAAAACCACCCAGCGACAACCAACACTCCCAAATCAAACACCCTGGAAGACTCTGAGAACTCGGCTGAGAGTGAAGCCACCTAGAGAAGCGGATTTGCTCATGAGACCCGCTAAACCATCCCAACAGCAGGTGAGACCAGACTTTCAAGGAAGCTGTCCTACAAATGAATGGTTGCACTGTTCTCACTGAGCACTGCCTTTTCTAATAGGCAGACAAAGCATCTCCTAGTTTTCTGCTGTAGGGCACCACAGTAGAAGACGTTGCCCATAAACCTGCATCTGAGAGGAACCACTGTCACGGCTGCTTGGAGCTTCCTTGGGGATCTGTTAAGTGGGGGGCGAGGAACATGTGTGCGCCAAACCCATCCTCCACCGGCCATTTCCAGTCCTCGTTAGCAACGACCTAGGATCCTCAAGAGATGTGCTTCCTACTGCTTCTATCCAGTTTAGCTGAGTTCATTAAAACCAGCTTCACTGGAAAAAAGAGTAAACGTATGTTTTTACAGAAGACGCTCCAAACCCCAGGGACCTGTTGCCAAGAGCACAGCCTCTCCCAGGGGAGGACTTGGAGACAGGCAGGGCAGCTCGGAGATGAAGCACGAGAGGCTCCACGTAAAACCTAGCTGGGGCCAGCCAGGACCATGGTCCTGACCCAGGCGAAGTGGTTAGGGTGCAGACAGGTCACTGCAGAGACATCCCAAAGGAAGCTGGCTTTCCCAGAGCCAGGGCGAGTGCCGGACGCTCTCTAGCACGACACCACCACCCACTACTCCCACTCCCCCATTACCTTCCGTGCCATAATGAGCCCTGAGGGTTTGTGCTGCACTTTGGTGACCACACCACCATTGCCAGCCCCCAATTCGGAGATCCTCTCAAAGTCATCGTCCTTCAGCTCGCCCACTTTGGCTTTCTGTGTGAGGAAAGCTTCCAGGCGCTTCTTCTGCTGCTCGTCCAGCTCCAGTTCCTCGAGCTTCTTCTGAAGGTCCACAAGGTTCGCCCTGGAGAGGGGAGGAGGAGACAGGAGGGATGGTCAGAGACTACAAGGGCAGCATCAGAGAAAGAGGGTTGTTTTTTTTTTTAGGGAAGTGGAAGGAAATAACTGAAAACCATCGTCTGACATGTACTCAGCCCCTGATACAGCAGCAAGACTAAAGCAAAGCTCTGGAGAGAGGCAGGGCTCAGCTCTGGTGCTGACAGGGTCACACGGACAGCGAGACCCATGGTGCAATATCTGCCCAACACGCGCATCTCCTCTGGAGAGGAGCTTTAGTGCAGTCAGCCGTTTTGGGAAAGCCAAGGAGTAGAGAAAATACTTCAATCCTTAAAGAGGCAGCACAGCTCAGCCCGGAGAGAACAGCAGCACCAGCAACCTCTCCCTCTCCCAACAAGGGAAGCCAAACTTGGATTTTTCTGTGAAACATGAGAAGGGCTTTCCACGGTGTCCAGCAAGCCCCTGCTCCATTACACCCCCCTGCTCCACCACCCCCAAACCCACCGCTCCCAAGCACAAAGGGGCATCTGTGCTCCCCCAGCACCTGCTGCTGAGCTCCCATTGCCCGCACAGGGTCCAGCTGCTCTCTCCCATTTGCTGCTCACCATCTTATCCCCCACCACCCACACCTAGGGCAACAGTTCGGGACGGTCTCACCCCCACCCCTTCCATCCCGCACCCCCATGCAATGCTCTGCCTCCCCCTAGCACTGCCCATGTCCCCCTCTCCACCATCACCCTTTCCCCCACACGTCCTCCCCCCCCAGTCCTGATTACCCCCCCCAGTCTTGCCTGCCCAAGTCTAAGTCCCCATCCTAGCCCCAACCTCTGTGCCCAGGCCTGGTCCCCACACGCCCCAGGCCTCGGCTGCCCCCAGACCTTCCCCCAGCCTCCTCCGCTTTCCCTACCACCCCCCCCAAGCAAAC